TTTGAATGTGTCCTCCAAACAAACATGTATTGGAAAGTTAATCCCTAGAGTGCAATGCTTTTGGGAGGTGGAGACTGATGAGCAATGATTGCACCATGAGGGCTCTCCAATCATTAATGGATTAATGCCACTATTCTGGGATTGATGTTATTATTCTGTGAGTAGGGATATTCTAAATGAAAGAGTAAGTTTAGGCCCCTTTTCTGTCCCTGTCATCCTCTCATCTTTGCCATGGAATGATGTAGCAGGAAGTCTTTTTTCAAGCTGGATACAGTGGAGAACAGCTGTAATCCTAGTGACCTGGGAGGCTTAGGAAGGAGAATTCTAAGTTCAAGGCCAGCCTCAGCAACTTGGTAAGATTCTATCTCAAAATAAAAAATATACTGCCAGGCGCCAAGGTACATGCCTATAATCTCAGCAACTGGAGAGGCTGAGGCAGGAGGATTGAGAGTTCAAAGCCAGCCTCAGCAAAAGCAAGACACTAAGCAACTCTGTGAAACCCTGTCTCTAAATAAAATATGAAATAGGGCTGTGGATGTGGCTCAGTGGTCTAGTGTCCCTGAATTCAATCTCCAGTATCCACCCCAAAAGACAGAATTATCCTAATTTCACAGAAACTTGTAGGAAGTGATGTGTATAGAATATCTAGTTTGTACATCATGTTCAACTGTACTGGAGTAGAGAGAACACAGGGCACTTTCCATTCCTGCCCCAGGTAGAAACTTCTCTCTGGAGAAATTATCCTAAGCAAATACTAATAAGTAGTTTGTTTCTTTTTCCATTATAGGCTTTAGTCTTTCAACTGTAGTCACATCTTCTAGGAGGATGGTCCCTGCTCACCACTCAGAGCTTCATCTGAATAACCTTACCCAACTTAATTTAAAACCGATACCTCTGAAGGACTTGCATTTTCCTAATGCCCCAAATCACTTGCCTCAAGCAATTTATACTAGATGCTCTCCTCTAGATACATTTACCCCTATATCCTCACTCTTTCTTTTGACTTGTCCTTTAGCTCTTATATCTCCCCATGTAATGTCTACTCCTAGATTCTAAAATTTATTGGGCATAGATAGGTCTTGTTTATTCTGTCATTCCTAGTTCAAGCACAGACTCTACCAAAGAGTGATGTTCCATTAATGTTAGAGTAATAAATGAGTTAGTGTGCAGTTGGTCTACTTTGTTACTATGTAATTATCCCATGTTCTTGAATAATCTATCTAAAGTGTGTGTGTGTATGTGTGTGTGTGTGTGTGTGTGTGTGTGTGTGTGTGTGTGTTTGTATTTGTACCAGGGATTGAACCCCCGGAGTGCTTAACCACTGAGCCACAGTCCTAGTTCTTTTTTCTGAGAGAAGTTCTCACTAAATTGCTTAGGACCTAATTAAATTGCCAAGGCTGGCCTTGAACTTGTGATCCTCCTGCCTCAGCCTCCAAAACCACTGGGATTACAGGCATGTAATTTTAGCTGTGTGCAGCTAAAATGTGTATGCTTTAATCTTATAGGGCAATCCAGTAAAAGTGAATAGGGAATGCAATAACTAATCATTTTTTATCTTGTTTTCTGTTTCATGATTCTCATTATTACATTGTTCCATTCTTTCATATGTCTAAGGAAATGCTTAATTTACTACCATGGTATCTTTTTCCAAATCACTAAATAAGATGGAGAGCTTCTCAATTTGATTTTCAAAATAAGCCGGGCATGGTGGCACATGCCTGTAATCCAAACAGATTTGGGAGGCTGAGGCAGGAAGATTGCAAGTTTAAAGCCAGCCTCAGCAATTAACAAGGCCCTAAGAAACTTAGCAAGATCATGTCTCAAAATAAAATATAAAAAGGGCTGGGGATGTGGCTCAGCAGTTGAGTGGCCCTAGGTTCAATCCCTGTTACAAAATAATAATAATAAACAAAATAATAAATCACTATTAAATCTCATATACAGAAAAAGGTTGAGCAATGTCATTCGTAAACTTAGATTCTAAAGTTACTCAGATTTCTAATAAAAGGAACATTGCCTTAAACAAATTATTAAAATTACTACATAGAATATAAACACCAACATGTTACATGCTGTATTGTCTGCAGCCCCACCTTGATATTATGAACTTACACTACTGATATTATGAACTTATCAATTTCCTAGAGACGAATCTGACTTAGACTTTACTAAGGGTGGGAAGAACTCCTGGATGTGGCCTTGGAGCGCACATTGGCCAGGGCACTAATGCAAGCCTTTGCTTCAGCTTTGGCTCAGGCTCTTTCTTCCTCATCTCTCAATGCTTCCTCATAGCAGGCTATAGGAACAGAATCATGGATCTTGGCCAAAAACTCCAGGACTTTCATCTTACTGGTTTCAGCATGAGCTCTTGGGCCCCACAGGAATTCATAGCATGGAGGATCACTGTTGGCCACCTGCCGATACTCCAGGTACTTTTCCTTCACTAAATCTCTGGTGATCAGCTTCCTGGGATCCCCAAAAGTGAAGTGTGCTCCTTTCCTTCATAGAATCCCATCATATTTAACACTTACCAGACTTGCTTCTCAGAGGTACAGTTTCCCTTTGTGAAGATCACAGCTAGGATAGTCATTAGCAGGCCATCTTGGGTACACTTCTTTAGCCTTGCATTAGAGCTTGGTTCCAGTTTGTTGATGAGGACATAGATGTGCCTTTTGGGATCCACTTACTTCAACTCAACGCCAAATACCAACTCTAGGAACTCAGAAACTCTCTTAAGGATCTTGGAAAAGTGGTTCTTGTGAATCTGGATATCATTTTTCAGTATTTCTGCCTTTGTAATGGGCCCCTTCATTTGAAGAGCAAGAATGCATCATTGTTACTACCTTCTCATCTAAATGGCCTATGAGAAATTCTCAGTGGCCACTGGGCTTTGTGGGGATCTTGCCCTTTCCTCTACATTATTGTTTATACTTTCAACAGATCTTGTGAATAAAATAGCTGCAGAAGTGATGGTGTTAGATGGGATTCTACCAGGATCTTGGGGATCATAAAGTGTCTCAGCAAGTCAACCATGAAGAATACCCTTGAAATGAACAGAAGAGGAATAGGCATAATCATCTTCCTTTGCTACAGTGGCCTGATCACGCACTAGATCTTTAGGTTCTTTTGGAGTCTGGTGGTGTTTTTCCCTGGCCTTGACTTTGCTCTTCTGACCTGAAGGCATGATGACTGTTCAGTTGCAGCAGGCAAAAGTAGATGATCTAGTGACCTGGAGAAGAATGGACTAGGTGTTTTGTTCTTCTTCACTAGAGAGACACACACTTCGGCTTTGTAGATGGGTCTTTTGCATGTTTTGTGTGGTGTGTGTGTGTGTGTGTATGCTCGCGCATACATGCGCGCATGTTATTCAAGGAACCCATACAGCCTTGAATCTCTGATCTGCTTGTCTCCTGCCTGAGACATAACTAGGATGTGTCATAGTTTGCTACCCACCACATCTGATTTCTGAGGAGAGAAAACAAGGCCTGACAGGTCCCAGCTTTGAGGCAGGGGATGTCTCTTTGTTCCCATTCAGTGTTTTCTGGGATTCTTCTACGCTGTTGCTTTGATGTTGACTCCTTATTTCAGTGCCATCATCTCTCTTCTATCCTGGAAAAAAAACTGAAGGAGATTCTTATCTGACCATATCTACCTGGTGATACCCAGGATGACAGAAGAGCTCCGAGGAACACTGTTTATACTGGGGTCAGAATTAGGGTTCTCATTCTTCATTCAGGGTCCTCATCTTCGCTTCTGACATGGCGTGGGCCTCCACCTTCTTCTGATGTGAAACCTATCTTCCCAGAGAAAGTACCACATCCCTGAGAATTCCAAAGCAGGAATTGAAAGAGCCCTCACCCTCAAATAGCTCTCTGATAGTCCCTTGGTGCTTAAAGTGTGGGCAGGACTCTGCCCAACCTAAGCCTGGAGTGGATAGTTCCCTCAGGATTCAAGATACTTTCCTTTAATATTCCTGTTCAGGGCCTGTGACTCCTGCTCTGAATTAAGATTGATACTCTGTTTCAGTGACCTTATCTCCCTGAGTTTCCACCAGGAGAAATCAGTATGTTTCATCAGGTGATCCTCCTTTAGGGCCCGTCAGGAATCTTTGGAGTCCACTCTGTTATGGGGAAGAAATAGCCTCAAGCTTCACTCAAAGTCCTTACATTACTTCTAAGCAAAGTGGGGAAATAGTTCCTCTGAAAACCAAATGCCAGTGTTACATTCAGACACTCCCATCTGGGGCCTACTTGGGCTGATATCAGGGGTGAGACTCTGTACCAACCCTGCCCTTCTGGGTTGGGTGGTTCTCTCAGATCTCAATCACTGGTCCTTACCTTTAGTTACATTAGGATCTGGAAACACCTCCATCTGTTAGCCTGAGGCCGTAATCCTTGGTCAATATTTACCCTTTCAGTCAGAGGGAGCATTCAGCCAGTGCTAAATCAGGTGTTCTCTTCCTGATGTCTATCCCCTAACACCAGGGCAGGACTCTGTGGGGCCCCCTCTGACTAGGGTAGTTGGTGCCCTCACACCTCACAAAGGGTCTTTACCTTACCTCCTGGCAGGTTCTGGGACTCCTCCCTTTTATGACTTACTATTGTCCCTCACACCAAGTATTTCACTTTCCTGAGAGATCCAGAGCTGGAATTCAGGGTATATTACATTTGGCTACTACAGTGGGTCTATCATGGGCCTCTAGACCCATAGAACTTGGGTCTATGGGATCCTTCTTATCTGGTGTATGTTATTCCCTCAGATCATACTTAGGGTCTTCACCTTCATTGCTGGAAGGTCTGAACCCCCACCTTCTGCTCATCTGGTGCCCTGGTTCAATGTTGTCACCTCTCTGAATCCTAGGATGTCAAATAGTGCTGCTATATCAGGAAATTCCTATCCAAGGCTTCCAAGGGCTTACATAGGGGTGGAATTCTATTGGCCCTTCAATCTTCTGGTGTAGGGATTGCCCTCAAACCTTACTCAGGCTCTTTACCTTCATTCTACACAGGTCCTGGAACTGTTCCCTGGAATCTGTCTCCTCTGATGACCACAGCAGCCCAGTTCAGAACAGAAATGCCTTTACTTCTCTGTGAAATCAGAAACAGATATAGAGAAACCAATGTATGCCACCCCCTTTATATAGGGTCTCTCAGGGCTCAGAGCAAGGGTGTAGCTCTTAGGAGTGCTGAGGTAGCCTGTGTTTTGTGGGGATTATTTATTCTGAAAGAGTTCACACAGGGGTCTTTCTTCTACTCCTGTGAGGGCTGGGACTCCTCTCTCTCTCCTGATCTGAGTCATCCAGTCAGAAATCAATGTTTTTCTCCCCAGTCACCTCACCTTATACTCTATGATCCTCAGTCTCCATATGAAGTGAAAAGGTACCTCAGCCTATCATCTGGGCATGGACTTAGAAGTACTAACCAGGCACCAGGTTCTGGGCTAAACGGTCTTTTTTGGAGTGAGCAATTCTCTCAGAACTTCCTTAGGGTTTTCACTTTTACTTCTCTTAGGGTCTGGAACTCTCCCTTGGTCAGCCTAAGGATGGTAACTGGTTCAATGCCCTCATCTCACAGTAAAAGTTGACATAAATTTTTACTGCATAGAATGCATGCAATAATTTTGGCAATCCTTTTAGTACAAAATCCTTTTTTTCTTTAAATTTTCAATTCAATCAAGTCAAGGTTATGACAGTAATAAATGTAGAGATTTTGATTCCACATATACCTGTCACCCCTTCAATTTATAAAGGAACTATACTATCTTTAGTGTTTATGCAACCACCTGGAAATGTTTGTATTGAAGACAAGCCCCCTCCTTTAGCATCTGATAACAACAAAGGCCACCAGACATAGTCACAAAAATAGCATTGTTCTGCAGAGAAATCAGGGACTATGGGAAGCAATATAAGCTGGGGATAACATCAGGATCATTTTTCAAGATATATCTACACTCAACCCTTTACTATAGAGTCAGTGAAGTAATTAGCTTCAGGGACTACCGCCTCTTTACACCCACATACTCCCTTGTATTATTCATGGCCCCTACTTGCCCTGTTATAACTGTCTTTAATCACCAATCGCACCCAGTTTTACAGCATCAACCTCTGTGGTGGAAGGGACACATATACAGCGGAAGAAATACCCATTCTTGTCAGGGATCACAAGAATTCCTAGGCCTGGAATGCTGGCAAGAATGCATTGAACCACCTGACACCTGGTTTATTGTCCTCACTTCATAGTAAAAGGTGATAGAAATTTTTACTACAGGTCACACAATAACTTTGGGAATGGCTAGTACAGAATCTGTTTTTTAAAAAAATTTCCAATTCAATCAAGTCAGGGTTATAACAGTAATAAAGACACTGAAGAGATGTAATAAAGGCACTGAAGAGATGCTGCTCTTCCAGAATCCATTAAGATCACTGAGTGATGCAGAGGAGCTTGACATACTCTACCTGACAAGTGAGTGGGTAAAGGAGATTCTGAGGGTGGGTGTCTGTAATGCCTCTGATCATTTTGTCCAATTGATCCATTCACTCAGATCATCATGCTAATAATGATTCAGAGACTCTCAAGCTTAGTCATCAAAGTTATCCAAGATTCTCCATTTTCTCTCCTTCCTTCTTTACCCTATTGTAACAGTGGTCCACTTCAACTTTGGAATATAGCCCTCAGCTGCTTATTTTAAAAGGGACATTATTTTTTTTTCTTTTCCTCTTCTTCCTCTCCCCCTCCCTAACCTGGGACAAGGAACAATATTACCTTTTCCCCATCCTTGGCCTATAAGTTATCTGTTCTTGAGTGCACACACCCAGCACAGGAAGGAGATATCATCAGAAGATCTAGGAAGTGACTTTCTCCCAAATTAACAAGTGAATTTCCATACACCATCAGGGCACACCGGGGGACCCCGGTTGGGACACCCCTGGAATGCAGCCTTTGAGGAGCTCCTTTAAAAGCCCTATTCTCCCTTATGGGCAGAACCACAGCCTGTGGGACTGGAGTCCCCATGCTCCTCCTTTGCTAGCAAAGCAATAAACCTTCATCTTCCTTTTTCTCAAAACCATGTCCTTTTTATCCAGTTGGCCATGAATTGGCATCAGGGACAAGGACCGAACTTTCAGTAACACTATGCTATAAGTCAGAAGTGGATATTTGACTTCCAGCTTCTGTAGGCTCTCTGGACTAGGATTAGCTTATGATATGTCTCATGCATTCTGAAAATTGTTTTACTCTCCTGAAACCCCTCATTAACTGTGGGTTTCCTGTGTGGGTCCATTCCTGGCATTTGAACATTCGACCAAATTGTTTCTTCTCAAAGTAAAGAGATATATTTTATTGGCATATCAGTATACTAAATTATGTACCCACTGTTGTTCAAGACAACATTATTGAAATTTTACTTTATGTATGTAAGGAATTAAGTACAACTCCTGCAAGACTTTCTTAGAAAACAAGGAGATGCAAATTAAAATAAGAGTGAGACAATCAATTTTCAATCAAATTTAACCAAAATTTTAAAAATTTGATAAAATGCCTGTGAGATATTAATTTATTCACATTCATTAATATGTGAGAATATAAATTGGTACAGTTTCATTGGAATGAAATAATGTGAGCAATATTCATAAAAATTTACAGTTCTCACACTCTTTCCACTTTGTGTTTTTACACATCTTTCTTATAATGAAACATGCATGTTTGCTCAAAAATTGATGTTCTATAAAATGTTGTTATCAATTGTAATCATAGCAACAAATGGGAAGCAATTTGTGTGTCCATCAGGAAGAGATTGGTTCAGTTAATTGTGGCACATACATACTTTGTAATTCTAGGGAATAGTTAAAGGAGTGAAGTGGATCTATAAGTATTGACACAGAAAGATATTGCATTCATTTTAGTCAGTGGCAAGGGTATGAGGCAGAATGATATTATGACAGTTATAAATTTATGTTAAAACTTGTATATAGACAAAAAAGCCTTAAATAAATGTTAAAATACTACATGCAGTATTTTTAATGTGGTTATCTTTGAGGAGAAACCGAATTTTGGAGGAAGCAGAGTTTGTATTTATCTGTATTTTAGAATTTTTTACTACAATAATATGTCCTTTCTTCTTTGTAATTAAAATATTTCAATAAGAGTAACAGCAGAAAAAGTAGCTGTGTGTTATACACACATATAGGATGTATACAACGTAATAGGAGAGCCTGAAATCTGAATAGCTTTGAAAGGAAAGTGACCACAACACTCAGAGCGCCCAAGAGAGCTTTATTGCAGCAGTGCGAAAGCGGGGA